GCACGTGCGAAGCCACAAAGCCATCTGAAAGGAAGCCAACAAGCGACTGTTATCATCAGGTCAAGAGGTCTTTTGCTTTTGAGGTGAGCCCCAGAAACAATCCATCACTTCACGATGGACCCAATCGTGAGGAACGCGGGTATTCTTCACCCGTATGGCGCTGAGGAAGCGGATCGGCAGCCCGACCCTGTCTTCAGTACCACCGAGGACGACGCCGGCATTCCCCTCCACCCCGGCGCAAAGCGCCTCTTCGATAACATACCGGCGCTACGCCGCATTCCCATCTTCGGCGTTGCTTGCGGGGCATACGGCCCCGCATGCGTCATCAGCCTCGCCCTCTTCCACCTGCTCAGCAAGGGTTTGGCGGATGGATTTATTGGGGGCTCCATCTTCCCTATCTTTGTCAACATTTACAAAGTGGAAGCAGCCCACTACCAGCGGCTCTCAGGAGTTATAGGGCTTTCTTTTGCTATCAAGGCCTTCACCGCTGTGATATGCGATACTTTCGCCCTCTTCGGTTACACCAAGCGCTGGTACATGTTTGGCTCGTGCGTGTTGTGCGGTGTCTTCGCACTGCTCTACGGCCTTCTGCCAGCCAATCCGTCATCTGGTAACATTGCTGCCGGTTTTGTATTCCTGAGTGACTATGGTATGGCCACTGTGGACATTCTTTCCGAAGGCTTTTACAGCCGTCTGATACGTAAGATCCCCAAGGCTGGGCCGTCACTGGTGAGCTGGGTTTGGTGGTTTATATCATGTGGAGGTACTTTGGGCGTAATGATCATGGGCCCGTTAGCCGACCATAATATGCCGCAAGTCGGTGTGTTCGTTGCTGTTGGGCTTCAGTTCCTTGCATCTTTGATCTACCTTTTCAATCTGTACGGCGAGAAGAGGAACCGCGAGGAGCGCATTGAGGATGCACGTATTATGCGCAAGGAGCTACTCCGGGAGCTCGAGAAGGGGAAAGCCCTAAGCCGTAAGGAAGGGAAGAAAGGCACTCTCGATGTGGATCAGGGAAAGGCTCTAGAGTTGGAGCCGATCGGCGACGGTGAGACAGTGGCGTTGGCTGACGATCTTCCCCTGAACCTTACCCACACAAACCAGGAGGAGGTGCAAAAGCTGAAGGAACATGCAGGCACATACCAGGACGAGGCGAGCCCAGAGCTTCTGCTGCCGCAGCCGATCATCTGTTGCTGTGGACTTATCGAGATCAACAAAGAGGTCGCCATGCGGAACAAGAGGGTTCTTGCATACTGTCTTGTCATAACAGCCGCTGTCATAACCTTGGGATTCGGCAACATTTTAGCAAGTACGCTAGGGTTGCTTATTATCTGCGTAGTGGTGTCGTTGGTGTGCTCTGTGATGTCCTTCTGGGCATTGCCGCTCGTTATTGCAAAGGTTAATGTATTTAATTATTTAAGTTCAGCAGTCTGCATAGGTCTACCTGGTATCAGCAAGTTCTTCATCGCTGGACCCGATTGTGTGCCTGGTGGGCCGCAGTTCTCCTTGACTTTCATATTCACTGTATGCACTGTCATCTCTACCGTCTCGAGTTTAACCGGTATTTTGGTGTTCAACTACTTTTTCTCAAAGACCAACTACCGCAAAATCATGATCATTACCACGGTCATACTCATACCTTTTGTGTTGCCTGAGATCTTCATACTCAAGCGTTGGAATATACAGATGGGCATTCCCGATCAGCTCTTTTATATCGGTACCAGCACTATCATTTCACCACTGATAGGCATGGTTTCATGGATGCCAACGGTAATACTGCTGTCACGTCTGTGCCCGCGCGGCTCCGAGAGCATGGTATATGCGGTTCTGGCCAGCTTCTCCAACCTTGGTAGCACCACAAGCACATCGATAGGTGCCATCCTGATGGAGTATGTGTGGCCCATCAAAAGTAATCCGCCGTGCGACTTCAGTAACGCTGTGAAGCTCGTTGTTGTCTGTAATATCATTTCACCGCTTCAGATCATCCCGCTGACCCTATTGCTGCCAAATGTCCGTGTGTCTGACGATATCGACATCGATGGCAAAATGATACCAAAAAAGACAGACGAAGAGCCTCACGTGAAACCTGGCAAGGACAGCAACGAGGTCCATTGAAGCTCTCGCAGCGTGCATGGCGGGCTGGATGAGCTATCACTCAGAGGCAACGCGACTTAGGGGTACGGATAAACCCCATATAAACTTTTTTCCCCTAACTTTACCCGACCCCCTTCCAATATAAAACAAATAATAGCGTATATATATATATATATAATAGTAGTGAATATTCGTTTGCTTTATCCCTCACCCTTTAGCCACTAACAACACCGAAAGGTAATTAAAGCTGAGAGAAGTGCGGCCCCTTCTGGTCTACCTCTATACCTTGCTTTCGTCGTCCAGGCAGCCCCTGTTCATCTCCTTCTCTTACTGATTTCTTTGTGATGTTGTTGTAATATTATGCCATCACACTTTTTCGATTTTAACTGTCTTGTACAAGAACCGTTAACCACATTGATACCTTAGTGAAACGGTACATTCCATTTTAACACCTCTCCTATGTTGATAATCCATAGATTGGTGGATGCGTATGCATATATACATCAATAGTACCGCTATTCATTTATATATATTTATATACCTATTTATATACTTATTATTTTAATTTAGTTATTTTATATATATATTTATTGATATAATATACCCATTAATTTATTCGAAACTTAAAGATGAACTGCTTGCTAGACGGACTTGGT